TTAAGAAATGGATATTGTGATTAATCAGTCCATACATTTCACTCTTAATTTCTTTGCATAAACTGTGATTGAGGCAAGTAGTTTCAAAAGAGTTTTTGACAGAAATATATAAGTTCAGATAATGTAATAAGTCACAGGTATCAGATTTCAGTCATAGGTCACTTTGCCATATATATGAAAAACATGTTTGGAGCTTCCACTTGAAGATCAACCACCTGAAGATGTGGGAATATTTTTAATTGATGATAGAATATTTTTATGTGCAGCAGATACTGAATCTCAGGAGGATAGACTATAATTTAATCACTTGGTTGAATTGGTCCAGTTTCTTGTGAAGGGTTTTTTTAATTTGCTAATTGAACTCTTTGAAGATTCTCTAGGGTTTTTTCTCACATTTTTTATTAATCATTCTCTATTGGATACAAATTTTACATGGAGGAGTAAAACTAAATATTTAGCTTGGAGTGACAGGAATTCATATTGTTAATGAAATGCATGTAAAATCATGGAGGGAGGAGTTAGTACATTTTTAAGTGAACAGTATTTAAGACACGACTTATTTATCAGCCATGTTCTGCAATTTTAAATAATTAAAAAAAATCATTTGCCACTCCTCTTTTTGCATTTCTACAAGCTTCAAGATGCTGCCATTTAGTTTTACATTGGGAAATAGGACACAGTGGATGATTAAATGCCTGGTCAAGAGAAAGCAGAAAGCAGTCTACCTGGCATGAAGTTATTTTCTGAAAAAGTCACCAAAATTATTCTGATGTATTAAGCATCACTACCCAAAAAAGGTTCCCCTTTCATTTGAAAGTAATAATAGAACTATCTCACTAGTTTTTAAAAACAGTAATTTAGTAGAACAGTTCATCTAAGATGTCCCTTGGAAAAATATTTCTCAGAAATTATTATATTCATACTTTATACATGAAATACTTTGCAGCATGAAAATGTCTTGCTGTGCACAGTATCTTCCACTTATGTAGAAACCATTTGTCTAGTTTCCATTTTATTTACAAATATCTACTGTGGATAATAGAAAAAATAAAAGATTTGAGAACTGAGTTTGTCTAATTGCATCAGTCAGCAATACAGTACTGATTAAAGAAAAACAGAAATAATATTTAAATAGCACTATGATTTTTATATCAAAGAGATAATTTTCAATAAAACAAAGCTATACCTTCAGATTATATATTTTTTCTTACTATTTCCTTTGAAATGTTCTCAATTCTTCTCAAATCATCCATAGGCCATGCCCAAGTCTTATTGTTTGTCAAACTCAAACACTGGATGATCTACACGAGATGCTACTGTGCATTCTCATTACTGCACATTTATTTACTACTTGTCTTAGCAAGTACTAAATGCATGTACAATAACAAGTTACTGCACAGTAGTGCCTGCAAATGGACTGTAACAAGGCGCTGTCCCAGGGGAGGGAAGGGGAGGTGATTAATGCCCCCTGGTGGCTGTCCAGCCCCAGCTCAGTTTCCTCTTCTGAGGGTATCTCCTGTCTCTCGCCTGCCGTGACTAGATATTGTGTTCTGTATCTGACAAAGACTGTCTCAGAGATTCCCAAACTAGGTCCCAGCCCTTGGTTAGCGAGCTAGCTAATGTCTGGAGCACTCGGATGTGTTTGTCAGAACTTGGCCCTTCCGGCCTCAGTCTCTCTTTCTCTCAGCTGTATCCCGTGGCCTAGGCTTACTGTGCTGGGATGGCTTTGGTTTCAAGCCTTATCTCCTCCTGCTGCAGGCCTCTCTGCCCTGCTCTGAGCTCACTGCCCCCCACACTGTGCCCTGCTCTGAGCCCTGGGTTTGCTGGGCCCCACGTGCCCTGCTCTGGGCTTGCTACTTTCCCACAATGCCTTGAGCCTGCCCTCAGCAGTGCTCAGGGCTGATATATGTCCCTCCGGCACCAATGGGACTTCCAAACCAGCCCTTTAATCACAAACCCAAGCCACCAGTTGCAAACCCTAACCAAAAGAAAAGCCCCCTGGCTATAACCAAAACTTTCTCCTCCTGGGTAATCAAATGACACTAAATAGAAAAAACAGGATACTATCCCTTTAACCTAAAGGGGTAGCTTCCCCGCATCAAGGGGCAGGCAGGCAAGCACCCAGGGCAGCCACCTCTCAGGGTTGACCCTCCTGACGACTCTCACAGTCTGGCCAGTAGCTCCCAGCAGTTATTCAGGTGCTCCTTGGCTGCTTCTCAGCAAGGAGCTTGTTTGCCATGCAGCCTGCAGGGCCTGTGTTTATAGGGCTCTCTGTCTCCTCCTTCTCCTGGTCACCTGCCTCCTGGGGCTGCCTGTCCTGGCTGATATCAGGCAGCTACAGAGCTCCTTGTCACTGCTGCTGACTCTGGTTGTAACTGCTTGTTTCAGTCTTTCCCCCTCTTTTTGACCTGCGCCTGGGCTTGTCGGACCTGCTGGCCCCCTGGGCTGTGCCCTCCCTTCTCAGTAACAGAGTAGGGGCCCCGTTTCGGTGCTGCTATTGTGCAGTAGCCTAATAATACTAACACTTTCCATCCTGCAACGTGGTACTGCACAGTATTTTTCAGATACTGCTCAGTCAGTGTCTCATGTAGATGCGCCCACTGTCTTATAGCTTCCCAAATGTGTCGGGAAATACTGTGTCTTCTTGTATACATCACACTCCCAAATAAGATACTTACCTAAGGTATGCACCTTATTTTTTTAAAGGCAGAGTGAAGAAAACAAGACCTGTCTTTGAAAATACTGGTAAGTAGCAGTAAATAAATGAGTAGCAGCTTTTGAAGCATGAGCCTCTGCCAAAGGAAAGAGAAAGCCAGCAGTTAGGGAGCCTCATGTGTTCATTGCACTGCCCCCTGTGCAGCATGTGCAGCTTTATTTTTCCTTTCCACCAGCAGAAGCAGAAAATGGTATTACTGTATTTCTTTGCTTATATTAACCCCAATTTTCAGCAGCTGAATTTTACGGAAAAGGTATGTGTTATATGTGAGAAAATACAGTAATGCATTGCTGGCCTGCAGCAGATTAAACCACCCTTCATTGAGGAAGACAGCCAGAGAATGAGCTAAGATTCTTAGGACAGAATCCTATTTCCCTTTACATGCCTACATGGCAGTTTTCCAGCCATATGCCTCCCATTTTTTGGTACTTACATGAAGTCCTAGTCTACCTGCAGCATGGATATGTAAGTGTCCACACAGCGATTGAGCATGCATAGGAGGCTGCACTCAGGCCAGGCAGGTTTTTGGCATGTAAGTCCCAAGATGAGGAGAACTCTTCCAGGCTTCATGCCAATAGTCTAGTGATGAGGGCACTCAAACCTTGACCCCTCTGACTTTCTACAATAGTATTTTCAACACTGGGCCACAGCTTAGGCATTATGCTGTAACCTTTTTGCTTCCCCTTTTAAAGCTGAACCACTGCACTTTGTGTTTAGTAATCACTGAATAAAATGGATAGAGAGCATTGGAAAAGCTTCTGCAAGGGTGCACCGTGGAGCCTTCTCTCTTCTTAAGAGGCAGCTGTCTCAATGAGCCACAGACCTGCCAACTTTATTTCTTCCTCTTGGCCTCACATATCCTCCTTCTATTGGCTGCCTAGGGGGCCAGCTTCAACAAGAGGCTGTACAGGACACTGACTGTGGTATGACAGAGCACTCTACTGAGAGGTCAGAAAGATAGATGCAAGGTCAAATCTTCCCTGTGTAACAGTGGACATGTCTACATGAAACACTTAATGTGCAGAAAACTAATTCTGTACATTAGCACAGCACACAAAGCCCATGCTAATGTGCAGTAGATTTAGTCTAATGATGTCTTTGACATCATACAAAAAAATTCATCTGAACTAATACACAGTAGCCCTAATTATAGCGCAATAAGTTAGTACCTGTCATTACAGGTACTGCACTTAATGTGCCGTAATTACAGCACATTAATGAACCTGTAGATGCACCAAGTGAATCTTGAATGTGGGTCTTTTGGTATCTGGGGAAATGCCCTAATCACTCTTGTATTGAGGTTAAAATAACAGAGCTTTTCGCTGCCTACTGACATCTACTACCTGCTAGTCACAGGCTAGTCAGGTAGAACATTATGGTTTATGCTTGCCCACGGTATGTGTGTATAGACTCACAAATTTGTCTGGCTAATGTGCAGTGCACCATGCTACCCTTAGAAACAATACTGCAATGGTGGGAAAGTGCACAAATGGCAGGTACATGACCAGGTAAGTGTCATTTGGGCATGTAAAGTGTAATAGAATTCTTTGCCAGCTTTCCTTTTGGGGTAGCATAGCTACATGCTGATCCTTGTTAAAGACGAGTAAATTTTCCACGTAGCCATTAATAAATGCAAGATCAAGGATACATAGTTAAAACTATAAATGAACAAGAAATGCAATTCCAGGAAGCCATGTGAGTCCATACTGTTTTTTAAGGTAGACGTTTTTCAACATAACCAGAAATATATTGAGCTGCACATGCAACCAGGAAAAAGAAGAAAAAAAGTACTATGTATTTGGAATGTGACTGAATTTACATTAATCATTCAGAGGCCACGCTCAAGTCCTATTGCTTGTCAAACTCTACAACACTGGGCACATCTCCATGAGATGTTACTGTGCAGTCATTACAAGATGCAAGGAAGTGGATTTGGCTGCATTCTCAGCTTTTAATTTGAAGTGTCATGGATGTTGTTCTAATAAAATCATTTACTATTCTCAGATAATGGGGTTTTTCTTGTTTGGCATTTATGTTGTTATATGGTATTCCTACTCATGCCATAGTTGTCTACATGCCTCTATGGACAAGACTTGAATTTCTAATATGGAAACATAAACAGATAAAAAAAATTAAATATGAAAAAATTGCAGCCCTAATTTATATTTCACATTGTAGAACTCTTAAAAAGGACACAAACCCAATTGTTGCATTATTTTTGTGGTTCCCATTCTTAAAAATCTTTATTACTTTTCTTTATTAAGTATGAATTTATTCTTTACAGTGTGCTATTAAAGTGGAGACAGACCATCACAGAGATCATCAGAGAAAGGGAATCTGTACAAGGAAGAGGGCAGGCTACCAAGAGCTAGATGGTTTGCCATGTCCAGTGTCATCTGGAGCACGACCAAAAACTGATGTAAGTAACCATTGTATATTTAACATTTTCTTGTTATAAAATGTAACTATCACATGATTTAGTATGTATCAACCACATATTATTATATTTATTTTAAAATAGTCTATGAGTACAATATATTACAACTGAGGATCTTTTTTCATAGGGTCGGGGGGTATACAGGTGTGTATGCAAAGTAAATAAAACTTGAATCAGTAGCTTTAAATCCTATGTCATCTAAAGGATATATATAGGTTTGGCTTCATTGAGATCTGTAAGAGGCTTTTTTCATTCTTACACATATTTTTAGATCTTACTGTATTTCCTTGCCTATTACATGCA